TCTCGCTGACGCGCTTTCTCGTCGTCCTGATTACGATCCTCGGCGCGACATGAGTCATCAAACAGATAATGTTGATGACGACGAAGATATCTATGCGTGTTGTATTGATCTGGGGCTCAATGCGATGATTTCGACATCCGTGCTGTCGATCCGAACTCACATCGCTGAATCCTACGCGAATGATTCCTTCTATGCAGGAATCATCAATTATCTCGGGGACCCGAGCGAAAATTTACTCGCGAAGTTGACGAAACCAATATGCGATAACATCAAGCGTTACGCGCTTGACGGTCCGTTGATGACGTACATGATGGACGTCTTTGATTCCCCGCGTGGGGTCATCCCTGCTGATGACGACCTTCCGAGCCCAATTGGTTCATGAATTTCACGACAGCACAGCTGGCGGACGCCTGGGTTGCGAAAAGACGTTTGCGGCTATTTCTCGCATATTTTTCTGGTTGCGAATGTATAGAACATCCATTAATGGGTGCGCTCCTGTGAAACCTGTCAGTGTGTGAAGCCCGCGCCGTCTTCACAAGCCCCATTGCGTCCGCTTCCGATTGTTACCGAAGCCTGGTGTGGTGAAGTGCTTGTTAGAAATATGGAGACCCCAGAAGCCAAGTGAAAATACGGTGTATCAGATTAATGAGACCAGATAAATAGGGGACTCGAGAGGAAGCGACCGTTGATGGAGAACAATCTGCAGGACCTACAAAAGAGAAATCAGTATCAGGGTACCGGTTAATCGGCACCGAAAGGAGTCGACCATGGTCCCATTTGAAATGCCCGGTCCCTCATTGGTGGATCCGGTCCCTCTTGGTCGACCCGGTCCCTCATCGGTATACCTGAGTCCCTCGTCGGTCGACCTGGGTCCCTCATTGGTCGACCCGGTCCCTCTTCGGTCGATCCGGGTCCCTCGGGGTTCAGCCACTCCGGACCAGTTAACACAAGTATCAGACTAGTCGACGCAAGGAATCAGAGCTTCAGGCAAGGATAGAGTAAAGGAGTTAAAAGGATAGGACTATATTAAATACTACTCAATTTGCGATCTACGTGGCACGACTCCGTCACCTAAGAAGAACTTGCTCTAAGCTACCACCTGTTCCGGGAAGGGATATATTTTGGCCCCCGTCGAAGACAGTTGTGTAGCGAAGTTCAAGTGCGAATAGAGCTCCAGGATATATTTGGCCTGTGACCTCTTTCGAGTAGAAACACCCCCCAAGACCCGCTATCGGAAGCGGTCTCCCTTACCTCACGGTATGGGAGCAAAGAAAAGGTCAGGTGGTTAATACCCCTGAAACAGAAGGAAAAGGCCAGGGACGACAAGCGCCCCTGAAGAATTTGGCTCTAAGTCCACTCTCGACAAGGTCGATCGAGTGGCCACCTACCGGCTCACCGAGTGAAGCATATCCACTCGAGGCCCCCCAGGTCTACCTCCCTCAAGGCAGACATCTACATCGTCACCAAGTCCTCCGAAGAGTGCAACCCGCCAGCCGACGGGTACACAAGGTGATAGAAGGTCCATACGCGGCATCGGGGTACCCCCTCCGACAGTCTGCAGTCCGGCACAATGAGTGGTTTGGGGTCTCATCATACAATTCTGAGTACCCACTCCACCACACTGGCGTTCGGTCAGCATAAATTTTATCTTTGGACTTCCACCGGATGAACAGAAACGCACGGGCGTATTGGTACTAGTGGATCAAAATCGCAAAATGGTGTATTTGGTCAGGTCACCGCCAACACTACGGCGGAGATGACAGCAAAGATCTTCATTGGCCTTATCTTCAGGCATCACGGCTTGCCAGAATCTATTGTTTCAGATCGTGCCCCGCGTTTCACTACGGCTTTTTGGGCCGAATTATTCCAGCTATTAGGCACGGCAGCCCTCCAGAGACAAATGAGCAAACGGAGCATGTGAACAGAGTGCTTGAAGATGTCTTGCGCAGTTATGCAACATCGTTCTCGTCGTGGAGCTCGTTTCTTCCACTTGCAGAGCTTGCAATCAACAATGGTGCCCATGCGTCAACCGGGTTGACGCCCTGTTGCGTTAACAACGCGAGGCATCCTCACGTTCCGGCGCTTCTTGCTCTCTCAGCTTCAGAGCACCCAGACCCAAAGCTAGGTGGGGGAGTATCTACGGATAAAATTGCGCCAAAACTGTTGATGACTGATTGCGATATAGGCAAGGTTGCTACCGATGCAACTTATGCTGGTAACTTTGTGGCCAACGGCATATCGACTCCTGACGCGATGCATTCCATCGCGTCTCCCGTAGCTAATTTTGCCCCCAATGGGGACTCGTCGCCAGTAAGTTCAGCTGCAGTAACCGAATCGCTACTATTACGACAAGGGATCACGCGTTTTGTGCGTGATGCATTACAAGAGGCAGTCGACAAGCAAAAAGAGAATGCAGACAGAAAAGGTCGAAAGAATATGCTGACATTTCGAGAAGGTGACAGAGTATTATTATCAACAAGTAGATTACAGAACACCTCAGTGACGAATTTGGGCGCTAATAAGTTAGCTCCAAAATATATTGGCCCATTTCGGATTGTTAAGGTGCATGGTGACGCTTACACGCTAGACATACCTACGTCTATGCGTTTGCACCCGACGTTCTACGTTGCGCGCCTCAAAGCTTACCTACCGGCGGATTTCCCTTCGAATATTCCCCGCTCTTCTGTGCCGGCTTCAAATCCGACATCCCTTGACGACGACGTTGACGACGACTGGGTCAAAGTCCTGCCCGAACGCGTGCAGACTAGATCTTCTGGGGTCCTCCGAACGCAGTCATATCAAGTTGACGTCGGCGTTTGACGTAGGCGTTCAACCAGTACCAGCTGCTCACGTCGAGTCTGCTCAGCAGCCTCAGTCGCAGCATCCGCACGATCTTGAGCTCTCTCAGCCATCTCGCGAGCATCAAGTAGGACATTCTCCGACTCCTCGGCTTCAGCGCGAAGTGGGTGAAGCTCGTCATTCGACGGTACAGGAGCCCGACTGCGAGAATCGGCGCTCATCGCCATAGGTCTTTCGTCGTGATGCTCCTCCGCCCTTAATTGATGCATCGGGTGCGCGACGCTGGATTGTCGACCTTATTGTCGATCACGAGGACCACAATCCCTAGGCGCCGAGTAATAACTCGGCGCCCACGAAGAACCATGTCAAGAAACATAACAGGGTTCGTTGGTTGGGATATTCCTCGGTGAACGATACATTGGAGCCATCGAGTACGCTGTCCCAAGATGTCCCGGACGTGTTCGAGAACTATAAATCCCGTAGAAATACGGTGATCGTGATCGACGCTGCCGGTTCCATCTCCGATCTCGCGAGCCGTAATGCTCGCGAGCAACGAAACCACGACGACCTCCCGAGCGACTCCGAGAGCAAGACCTATTACGAGGCTCGGAAGCATATGGATGATATTTATGACGACCTCGGCTACGTGAACGCCCAAGGCGATCTTAAGGACGCAATCTCACTCGCCGTAGCTCGGACACCTGGAGCTGCGAAAGGCTTCTCTTATAACGGGAAATTCATGGACGAATATGATCGGTCATGCCTCGCGTACACACCAAGTCGTCCCATTCCTGCCGGACCGGTCGCAATCTGCCCATGTTGCACGTTGGACATCCCTCACGAACATGGACGTAACAAATGTGATACTCGTCACAAGTCATACGACAGATGCGCCGGCGCAGGTCAATAGCGTGTCTATCACGCATTCCTTTGCGACCATCTAACCAGGACGTGAAGGACATTTCTTCACGTCGACTAGCGTTCCAGCGTCTGATAAAGGCACACCAAGACCTCTGCAGCGCATCGTCGGTATACGCGTTGCTTTGCCTCTCACTGTACGGTATCGCGTGAAGAGGTCCTTCACGACCTCCAGTGGCTCGGGTTCGACAGCACCTTCAAGACAATACAAGCGCCACGGTTTCAAGTCCCCATCCATGACCTGCGGCGCGTGTTCTCTTCGGATCGTTGCTTGGTGTCCCCATTTCTGGTTGTCAGAGACATTGTTTCGTGGACGCCCAGGGTCCATGCTGCTCAGTTATGTCTAACTGAGCAGGTTCGAAGTTACGTCGCTGGTCGAGAAGAAACTTTCTGCGTTTCGCGCTTACGTTAAGGTAAGCGCAATTTAAAGAGGGGGGTGATGGAATGGGGCAACCTATTACATAAGTAGTTATAGGCGTAATACATAATTACATAAGTAGGCATAGGGCAGTATCCGATTAGCGGATACTGCGTGTCATTTTATTATTGGTTTTTTTATTGGGGTGCCAGACCCAATAATTAGCCAATAATAAACTGACTTCCATATTGAGTGGTTTCCATGAGCTAGGGAACATATTCGCACTTAATGCGAATTAAACAAAAATAAAAACAGAGTTATATTTACGAGTTAATGATGAGCGCTTTCTCAACGCCCTTTTAGTGTAAGACAGTAACGGGTCTTTAGCCCATTACAGGAGGTCTAAAGTACCACGTACCTTTTTCAGACCTATCATATGCTTAACGAACTCGTGTAGTTATTGGCCCGTTACATCGGCAACTTTTCCCTTGGACTCAACGCTTTGACCTTAACTTAAAGTTTGACGACGGAACCATCTTGCCTATGCTTCCGGAAGATATGCTCATTGAAAATGTATTCGCCAAACATTACAATGCCCTTACTGCCTTAAAGAAAGCCTCTCACGAGCACGGATTCTCCGTCAAGAAATAAGAAAACGAACAGAGCCAAATCAGCCGAGCCCAAGAATGTTTGGCTCTTCATTACCTATTACATTGGTTGCGCTCGTGCACTGAAACTAGACAGTCGTTTAAAGGACGGGGCGAAGCCGAAACGAAAGCACCGCTATCTGTTGACAAGTTGCAAGTGGAGCGCAACTATTAAGAATGATGCGCCTGGTAATACTGGCTACCTCATTATCGCTTTTGCTGGGGAGCATAATCATCCCGCTGCGCTTAAATTACAATCTTTTCCAATTGCCCGTAGAATGAGCAAGGAGAAGCCTGAAAATTCGAAGCGATTACTGAGAACTGGCTTGAAGCCGTCATCTGTCTTAGACGTGATTCGAAGTGACCTTGCAGATGAGATCTGTCTAGTGGCTGAGAGGGATATAGTAAACATTCAACAGTCTGAGTGCGTACAAGAATTAGATGGACTGACGGAATTGGAAGCTCTTAAGAGAAATTTGAATGCGTACGACGCAAAGGTTAAGACTCGAGTAGACGGCGACGGGCATTTAACCCACCTGCTGATCATCCCTCACACGATTCTCGAGCTACTTTAAATGAAATGGCGAACGACTGTGGTGAAGTTAGAAGAAAACTACCGCACAAATGTCCATTGCGATGGAATGCTGCATATCATCAGTTCCTACAAATACCAATCGAGCGTCACCTTAGCCTAATTCTTTGTGCGCATTACCACAGAGAAGAATTTAACCTGAATTTTCAGTCGGTGTTGGATTTCAGCGGACACAGATGTAGCAATTGGAACGCTATGAATAAAGTTTTCCCGAAGTACCCCCATCTTCTTTACTACATGCATATTCAAGAAAATATACGAAAACACCATAGAGGAAGTTTTCCTAGCAAAGAGCAAGTTGAAGATGCTGCACTAGTGGGAGTGGATCTAAACACTTGGGACACCTTTGTGGAAAACTTTGCAAATTTGTGCCTGCGAACATTTACCGAGGAAGACCTATACAAAATATGGACCGCAAATGAAGAAGCGCGTCGCGGGAGAATGTGCCAAGTATGCACAAAATATTTGGTTTAATACTGTCAAGGAGAGATTTTGAGCCCCCTGGTTCACTCACGTATTCCAATTTGGTCAACTGACGACTTCATAGTGTAGTGGGCTCACGCCGCGTTTAAAAAAGAATAAGCCTCCTCCCAAAAGTCGCTGTGTATGATCTACAAGCCAATCGAGAAAGTGGCGGCCAAGTAATTGGATAAATGCCAAAAAGCGCGGTCGGATGACTTATGAGCCGCGCAGATGCGCCCTCCTCCGATTTTTAGCGACCCTGTGTGTACAATTTCCCTCAACTCTTTAACACCCTTTAAAAGCAACTGGGCATTGCAAAAAGTAAATTCAAGAAGAAATAAGAGTTGGTCCCAGGACGTTACCAAAAGCCGCTTTGTGACGGTTTGTATTTATAGGTTCATTAGTTACATGGGTTCTCACCATTTATTTGATTTGGCTGAGAAGAATGGTGAAGAGGATGCACGAGTGGATCCTACCACCATTCACGTTTTTTGGTTCCTGGACAAAACATAAAAACCACTTTCCAACCGCAAAAGCTCGACAATAAAACCTTTGCAGAACAAAGGCAAAACAAAACCGTAAAGGCACGCTGACCCACTGGACCTGATAATAACGGGAAGAAGGTACCGAAAAGGCGTGGAATGCAGATGTGCCATGTTTGTAGGAAGTATGTTCGACATAACATTGCAACGTGTCACCAGAAACACCCCAAAAAAGCTGCTGTAAGGGAAGTTGGGGTACCAACACGGCGTCTGACGCCAATGCGAGAAGAAATTCGTGAATTTTTTACCGCCTCAGCCAGCGCTTCACCAGGAAGCTCACCCTCACCCACCGCCGCAACTTGAGCAGCTTCATTGCCCTGTAATGCGGTCCCAGGCACCGCAGCTGCAGATTAAAGAGTGCCACTACCCGCAATGCAGTCTCAGATGCATTATGGTGAGTCGCTGCTTTCAATGCAGCAGTACAGTCAGTTGCAGGCACCATTGATGCAGCACGGTCATTGCAGCCTTTAATGCAGCAATACGGCCAGTTGCAGACATCGATGTAGCACGGTCATTGCAGCCTTTAATGCAGCAATACGGCCAGTTGCAGACATCGATGCAGCAATACGGCCAGTTGCAGACATCGATGCAGCAATACGGCCAGTTGCAGACATCGATGCAGCAATACGGCCAGTTGCAGACATCGATGCAGCAATACGGCCAGTTGCAGACATCGATGCAGCAATACGGCCAGTTGCAGACATCGATGCAGCAATACGGCCAGTTGCAGACATCGATGCAGCAATACGGCCAGTTGCAGACATCGATGCAGCAATACGCCAGTTGCAGACATCGATGCAGCAATACCCATTGCAGCCTTTAATGCAGCAATACGGCCAGTTGCAGACATCGATGCAGCAATACGGCCAGTTGCAGACATCGATGCAGCAATACGGCCAGTTGCAGACATCGATGCAGCAATACGGCCAGTTGCAGACATCGATGCAGCAATACGGCCAGTTGCAGACATCGATGCAGCAATACGGCCAGTTGCAGACATCGATGCAGCAATACGGCCAGTTGCAGACATCGATGCAGCAATACGGCCAGTTGCAGACATCGATGCAGCAATACGGCCAGTTGCAGACATCGATGCAGCAATACGGCCAGTTGCAGACATCGATGCAGCAATACGGCCAGTTGCAGACATCGATGCAGCAACACGGTCATTGCAGCCTTTAATGCAGCAATACGGCCAGTTGCAGACATCGATGCAGCAATACGGCCAGTTGCAGACATCGATGCAGCAATACGGCCAGTTGCAGACATCGATGCAGCAATACGACCAGTTGCAGACATCGATGCAGCAATACGGCCAGTTGCAGACATCGATGCAGCAATACGGCCAGTTGCAGACATCGATGCAGCAATACGGCCAGTTGCAGACATCGATGCAGCAATACGGCCAGTTGCAGACATCGATGCAGCAATACGGCCAGTTGCAGACATCGATGCAGCAGTGTGACAAGCCGCGCCTTTTCGTGCAGCTTCCCCACCCAGACATGAGTTTACTTCATGGACAGCAAGCACCGAGCCAGGAAGAGATAGTGTATCTATTTGTATTTCCTTGTTGCTGACGGATGGGTAATGTGTGCACTGGGACAAGATACGATAATTCTCGTGGCTCAAGACCACTAATATTCAGGTTGGAAACATCATTCCGCGTCCTACTTCATTTTGCTCGCCTCTTTTTCATCTCTTTTTAGCTGGCCTCACCACATGCTGGCAGACAAGCTGGAAGCTGCTACGCGCGACTCAGAATTTTAATCGACCTCAATGTATGGTAAGAAGCACACTCCCTAAGCAATGCTATGATCTGCAATCTGCCACTCCATACTACGATAGCATGCTCGTCGGGATCAAATTAGTTTTCATCATCCGCAAGTGTCGTAATGTTAGCACTAGGCGACGCGAGCATCTGCCCATGCAATTCCTGGGTGCATACAGGATGGGGAGCGCGCATGGTCAAGATTCTTGGGTGCTGCATTGAGTTCGAGGTCATTTATGGTAGGAAGCCACTGGGTAAATGAAAATAAAACAATCAAGTAGAATTTCATCCAGCTTATCTGCCCTTGCGACGTCGTGCTAGTGTGGCCGATTGTGAAGTCAAAGGAGCTTTTAGCTCACCCTCGCCTGAGTCTGGCTCTCCATTATGGATTGTCAAGACTTCAGACGTAGGGTTAACAGAGGCGGGTGATTTATAATCGACGACCTGCTGTTGTGCCGCGGCTGTTTCTTTCGAAGCAGCGCGCTCATTGGCGCAGACGACGAAGCATGACCCTCGCTGTCAGGAAGCATGGAAGAATCCTGAAGATTGAGTATGTAACGGGGCTAGAACGTACCGTCACTAGCTTACACGCGCGCTCGAGGAAGACTCAAGCCCAAGTATTAGGTATTAAGTACTTTTTACTCTGATTTTTATTTAAGTCGTACTACTTACGAAGATTTTAGTCGTAATAAATACGTCAGTGTTCCCGCCTTTCGGGAACCACACAATTTCAGGTTGATTTATCATTGGTCCATATTGGGGACTTTAGGCCCCAATAATAAACCAATAATAAATTACCACGCTGTGCCCGCTATTCGGGCCCAGCACCTGCCTACATATGTAATTGTTTGTTTATGTTAATGGTATATGTGTAATGTAGCCCATTACATCACCCCCTTCTCACGACAGCACTCACCAACCGTGAGTGCTCAACTGTCGAAAACCCTTCGCCCACAAACGAACAAGAAATGTCCAGAGACCCAACACCCAATCCAGCAGCATTCCCAAGCACCATCATCGGGAGTGCAACAACCAGCATCATGGCGGAACAACTTATACCTTGCAACTGTACGACTTGTCCGGAGCTCACGCTCCGGACTCACTGAACACAATGCGGGACTACTTCCGGCGATTCCGAAAGCTGAGTGTAAAGGGCCTTGATGTAATTGGTTATGAGGCCTTGCAACGTTCTTAATGTGCCTTCATCCAACGTTGGAATTGGATGCGCGAGGATGGTAGAAAATACCAACTGTGGCTCGACAATCGTGAGGAGCTTCGCACCGATCACTCCATCGACGCGCTACGCGAAAGGGTGGATAAAAGTGCTTGGAATGAGGAATGCCTCTGCTTCGTCCATGTCAATGAAGGATGCCAATCTTGTGACTCGACTCCACGCCCAACTCAAGACGAATGGCGACGACACATCGCTGAGTGTCCACTCAGCGATCGCGAACGAAGTTATATTGCAAAGTATGAGCGAAGTCTGAGCGAACGGAGAAGCGCAGTTATTCGTGGTGCGCCTCGCTGGCAGCACCACTCGCGACAGCGGAGTCAATCCCCGCGGAATCATCAGCGCAGGGCAGCGAAGCGTTCGCTTGTCCGTCCTGCTTCGCGATTCTCGCCTCGCAATCGTGGTATGTATTCACCGCGACGTTCTCGTTCACGGAGTCATTCTCATTCGCGACATCGTTCTCGTTCACGGCATCGTTCTCGTTCGCGTCATCGTTCCCGTTCCCGACGACGTGGATCTCCTTACCACTCTCGTTTGTCACGAGAGCGTTCGCGTGCTCGCCCGCCTTGGAATAGTCCGACTTCGTGGCTTCATACGACAGAACCGCATCTGGAACGTCACGAAGGAGCGAGGAACGTGGTTTCCATGTATCCTGCTCGGGAGGGAATCCAAGTCAACGTACTCGGTACCTGCGCACGGATGGAACCGCACGCTTCTCATGAACCGACTGCAGTAATGGTTGTGGAGGGTCCTCGTGACCCACAATGCGGTCTACAATCCAGCGCACCTGTCCCTCCGCATCAACAAGCGGAGGAGGGCCCTCGCGATGGTAGTGCTGGCGTCCTGGTTGCTCAGGACGACGTTGATCAGGCCGTGAATAATAGCTGCCGATGCTCGGCTGGAGGCTGAGGCTGCCAGTGAACGTGCTGCCCAGGCGGAGAAGACTTCGAGTGAGACCCGGCAGTCGAACCGTGAACTGCTCGAACGGATAAGGGTTCTGGAGCGCCAGGGGCTTGGTCAGGTTCAGACGGGATCGAGACCCCGCCCCATGTCATCGGCGCGTCGAGCACGACGGGAAGGCCGTTCGACTTACGAACCCCTGAAGCCGGCGTCGGAGCCAAACCGTGAAGCGTAGCCGGACGATATTCCTTCTGCCGCCCGACATAGAATGTCGGGTGGAGTCGCAGTGAAGAGGGGACGTCGAGTGTATAAGCGTCGCCAATTGCCTTCAGAACCTTGAATGGACCGATGAAGCGTGGCGCGAGCTTACTCGCGCCCAGATTAGTGACCGCAGAATCCCTTAAACCTTCAGTAGATAATAATACACGGTCACCTTTCTCAAACTTGCTCATGTTCCTTCTTCCATGTTTGTCAGCGTTCTCCTTCTGTTGGTCTACCGCAGATTGTAGTGCGTCGCGTACAAACCGGGTGATGGCTTGACGTTGGAGTATAAATTCCGACACAGCCATGTCATCAATTGGTCGCGCCGACTCAATCGGCGCGTAGTTGGCAGTAGGGGAACGCTTACCCGAAGACGGGTCAATCAATGTCTGCGCAGTCTATCGAGTAATGGGGACGCCACGTCTGATGGCGTCAAAGTGGCCGTTTTTGCCTTGGATCGTGTTACTGCATTCGCGCTCAAAATACCGTGAGCTGCACTCGATCCTTGTTTATCACGTTTATCCCCCCAGAGTGGAGCTACTAGGTGTTGTGGGTCGCCCCACGGCCAGGAGAGTAGGAACACGAGGGTGACAAGCCGAACTCACAAAAAATAACGTTAACCCTGTTGACGCGTTTACGGCATTATTGATTGCGAACTCAGCAAGTGGTAAAAATGCACTCCAACTTGTAAATGACGTAGCATAACTTCGAAGAACGTCTTCGAGGACCTGGTTCACGCGCTCAGTTTGCCCATCTGTTTCCGGATCGGCCGCTGATGACATCTGCAGTTTTGTCCCGGGGAACAATGACGTCCAAAATGCATATGTGAATCGCGGATCAGGGTCCGAAACAACGTTTTCTGGAAGGCCACGATGACGGAAAACCGCGTCAATAGAGTGCTCCGCGGTCTCTGCCGCGGCGATCTTAGCGTGAACAGGCACTATATGTGTCATCTTGCTGAATCTGTCAACAAAGACCAAGATGCCCTTTCGAGCTTGACTATTGGGCGCAAGCCCGTAAATGAAGTCCATCGAAACTGATCTCCAGGCCTCTGCTGCAATTGGCAACGATCGCAAGGGAGCCTGTGACGATGGAGATGGCTTCACACGCTGGCATATTTCGCACGTTCGGATCCAGTTGCGTACCCACTTATACATGTGGGACAGATGAAGTCTCGAGACACAGCCGCGAAAGTCTTTTCGCGGCCTAAATGGCCGCCAGCAGGGACATCGTGATCCTCGTGGATGATTCTTGCACGCAAATCCATGTCGTTGGAAATACACCGTGCGAGGAGCATCGAATTGATCGATGCTTTACAGAAGCAATCGCCGTCTAAACTGTATCGATGAATATGGTCGCGCTTGGTACGGGATAATGCTCCCAGTGCAGCATCGCTGGGAGCACGCAGATACTCGATAATGTCTGCATAATCTGAGTCACCATTGTACGCTGCGACGATCTCATCACATAAACACGGCTCGGGTGTAACCCGAGTTAAGTTCAACGATACACACATTGCACATCGCACATCATCGTCCTCGTCATCAGTAGCCTGGCGACTCAGAACAGTCCGAGGATCGTAGTCGGGACGTCGTGACAAGGCGTCAGCGAGAATATTGGTCTTGCCTGGCTTGTAATGCACGACGAAGTTGTACTCAGAGAAGAATGAGAGCCATCGTGCCATCCGTTGGGACAGGTGTGGACTCTTCATCGCTGTGCGCAGCGATGCATGATCGGTATACAGAGCAAACGTACGTTCACCAAGTAGATGCACGCGAAACTTGATGAGTGCATAGCGCATCGCTAATAACTCCTTGTAGTGAACCGGATAGTTTTTCTCAGCTGGCTTCATCTGTCGCAACTGGTAACTCACGACTCGTTCACGGCCCTCATCATCAAATTGCATGAGGGCACAACCGATTGCAAAATCACTGGCGTCGCAAACCACGTGGAACGGCTTGGAATCGTCTGGTAGGACCAGGACTGGCGCTGACGCTAGGCTCTTCTTCACTTCTGCTTGGTGCTCGGGACGCCACAACCACGTGACGTCTTTCTTCAAGAGTGACGACAAAGGCTGAATAGAACCATCATAATCCTTCGTATACTTGTGCAAATAATTAGCCAAGCTGAGCCACTGGCGCAACTCCGTGGGGATCTTGGGCGTGGGCCAAGAACAGATGGACGACACCTTCTCTGGACCAGCTCGAACTCTCGATTTACTCACATAGCAACCTAACACCGGAATCTCCGGTGCACAAAAGACACACTTCTTGAGATTCGCGTACAACTTGTTGTCCCGCATAACCTGAAACACTTGCTTCAGGTGTTGAAGGTGAACTTGGACATCGTTGAGGTTTCCCTCGGCGTGAATGTGGACGAAAATGTCGTCAAAATAACTTGGGGCAAAGTTCCGAAGA